CAGTATTTGTAATTTTTAAGGATAAATAGCCTCTTAATTTACTTTATTTATTTACTAAGTACTACTATTATTGTTATTACAGCAAGACTATTGTTAGGCAGAACAATCATACATTTTCGAAAGATATGCATACTTTCAATTTGAAGTGTTTTACAAAAGTATGACAACATTTCATGACATAAGTATGCATTTTTGTTAAAAAAGTATGACTGGTCGACCGGCCTAATGGTTAGACCGCCTCATATGTTATTATTAGGGTAAACCTTGAAACTGGTCCCTTTTTCTTATCCCGTCTTCTTCATGTTATGTCAATGGTTAATTCTATTTTCTTTAACCATCCAGTTGACTTTGCTTCTTCATTTTTGTTCTTTAAAGTTGTGGAAACAGTACTTAATAATATGCTTATTGTGCGATATAGGTGAATGCTTCTGTCGAGCAATCATACAGTTATTATGCTGGTGATGATGGCAGTACAGATTTAGTTCATTTTCAGGTAATTTAAATGAATCCTTTAGATTTTCCCACCAAGTTGTTGTGTTGAGGTTAATTAATAATCCTGTTTAATTTTTTGTAGGCTTCGGGAGCATACATTTTTCGGCCAAATGGCACTTACGCAATACAGCCTGATCGAAAAGTATATGTGTTTCTGCAATTTTGATTGCCATATTTGCTCTGCATGACCATGCAATGAATTTTTTTGTTGTATTGAAGGTTCCGTTAACAGTTTTCAGAGGACCAATTTTCGATGAAGTTCATCAGGCCGTTAGTCCATGGATATATCAGGTTAGGAGCTTCTTTCTTTATCTCACTGGACAAGAATCTGCAGCTACTAAAGATAAGTACAAAAATTGCCTTAATGTGCTGGTCTAAGTACAAGAAAAATGTATCTGCTAAAATAAAATTATTATTTACAAATTACAACCTTTGACTCGGATAGTTGTTCAGTAAAATTTACCTCAAGTGGTTGTTAGCAAATACTTTGAGGGAGATATTTGTAACTTCTGTAGATAGTTGGATATTTTCATGATTATGCAAACCTCAGGTAATTTAACTAATTAATACACTCAGTTATTTATTTATTTTTTTTTGCTGTTCATTAATGCCTATTACAAAACCGTAAAGGAAGGTCTGAAACTTATATGTTCAATTAGTTTTGTTTTAAAAATAAAATCTATGTTTCTTGTGGTCTTGTCTTGCTTATTGTTAATTTTTTATTCACAGCTTACGAGGGTGTACAAAGAGAAGGAACACGTGGAGGTTGAATTTACTGTAAGTCAATTTTTCCAAACACACAATTTATTTATTCTCCATGGATTCAATTGTAAACTTTGTTAACTAAAAGGATTAAAAAAATCTGAACTTCAGGTTGGTCCCATACCCGTTGATGATAAAGTTGGGAAAGAGATTGTAACGCAGATAAAGACGGATATAAGAAGCAATAAAACATTTTATACAGACTCCAATGGACGTGATTTTCTGCAGCGGGTACATAGCGCATCACTTGTTTTGCTCGACATAATACCTTAGTACATGTTAAACATGAACAAGAGTGTGTTCATCTTTTATTGATACAATTGTAATTAGCATAGACTAGTAAGATTCCGTTTATTTGCTTAGGTTCGAGACTACAGAACTGATTGGGATCTTCAAGTGAACCAACCAATAGCAGGAAATTACTACCCTGTAAGTTTGCATTACAGTGCAACATTTCCTTTATTTTCATTGAAATTATTTCTCATCTATTATTTGTTTTTAAGGTAATGTTGCTGTTAGGCAGACCTAATAGTTAAGTAGTCATAATTTTTAACAGATATGCATACTTTCAAACTGAAATGTCATACTCTAGTAACTAACATAAACAAAAATATGACATTTCGTAGCATAAGCATGCATATTTGTTAAAATAGTATGACGGCTAGACTCGCCTAATGGCTGCCTCACGCTCTCAAGAAGTGTTTTCATGATGATCATCAGAATAATTTGGTTCTTAATGTTCTGAATTTGACTCTTCAATGGATAAAACTGGACTCGCCTACAAAAATTGTTAGTTGCAGATGAATAATAGAAGAGGCAAGAAATTGGAAACAGGATCAATTTTCTGCTGGCAAAATCTATTATTTTCAAGTGTTTGAGACCATTTTTTTTTCCAGTAACTTCTTTGAGTCTATGATAACAAATTTTTTTACCAAATATTATTATTATTATTATTATTATTATTATTATTATTATTATTATTATTATTATTATTACTATTATTATTAGTATTAGTATCATCATCATAAGTTATGAGAACACTGTCACTGTCATGAACTATGAAGAAGTTGGATTCACTAGTACATGATTACTACATTCCATTACAAAAATAATTATGGGAGTTTCATGGGATTAATTCAGTTTTTTATTCTCCGCTGTATACTCTTTTAGATAAATCTTGGAATATACATCAAAGACGAAACCACAGAGTTCTCGGTTTTGGTGGATAGATCAGTTGGAGGATCGAGTATTACTGATGGTGAAATAGAGATCATGCTTCACAGGTTATTCCCTTTTGTCTTAGTTTTATTTCTTATTTATATTCATTTTCTCATTCATGTAATTTCTTATTTATATTCATTTTCTCATTCATTTGTTTTGTAGGAGACTGCTCCATGACGATGGTAGAGGTGTGGCCGAGGCACTTAATGAAACAGTCTGTGTTCTTGATAAATGCACTGGTTTAACTGTAAGAAACAGCCTTCTTATATCTAAAAATACTCTCTTGATTTGTTTATTTTTCTTTGTTAGTTCTGCATGGCACATGCCAGGTTTCTTGGAAAATAAAATAAATTGAATAAAGAAAATGATTTTGTAGTGCACAACTTTGATATTTTATCATGTTTATTCAGTGATATATCAAAATATCATGAATACTTTTTTTTTTTTTTTTTTTTCACTCGACCTAGTTATAAAAACTACATTTTAAATTTTCTCATAGGTTAAAGGGAAGTACTATGTGAAGTTTGATCCACTTGGAGAGGGTTCCAAGTGGCGTCGCTCTTTTGGACAGCAGATATACTCTCCATTTTTATTGGCTTTCGCAGAGAAGGTAACTCAAAGGAAAGCTCTTTTTTCTCCTGATTGGTAAATTTATTCGAAGTTTCCAATTTAATAGTTGATTTCGTGGTATACGTAGGACGATAAGTGGACAAATTTCCCAATATCAACTTTTTCGGCCATGGATCCTTCTTATAGTCTACCTGATAATGTCGCACTAATAACCCTTCAGGTGATTCCTTTTACATGACAACATACATGCTGTGTCTGAATGTTATCTTAATTTTGTAACATTGAGTGAATATTTATTGCACTTTTGTCTGCTACCTTAGGAGCTCGAAGATGGGACTGTTCTGCTTCGGTTGGCACATCTATACGAGGTTTTATGTTCAATCATGGAAGAAGTTTTCTTGTGTTCAGATTACCTACTGTGAATTATGTTTTTGCAAAAACATTATATTAATTACAGCACTATTCTTGAGGCTACACTTAACTACAAAGAAATTCGATGGTGTCTTCAAGCTTCAAATACCCTCTTGAGGTTTATATGTTTTATGGGGTACGAATTAGTGGTTAACCCCTCATTGGAGGAATATAAATTTTTTACACAATAAAATATTTCAAGATAATAAAATCTCAGTACTCATCACGCTTTGAAAGATGACCAAGTCATTTTATGTAGTTAAGCTAAACCTCAAGGGCATAGTACAATATATATTTCTGTATTTTGTGTCGATGTTGCTAAATTATTTGGCTCCTAACATTCTGATTTTCTCTGCCAAACACACATGATAGGTTGGGGAGGATAAGGATTTATCCAGAATGGCAACCGTGGATTTGAAACGAGTTTTCTCAAAAAATAAGGTGAAAAAACTGAGTTAAATGCCCCTTGGATTATTATTCTAGTTACTCAAATATTTTCCCCTTATGATTACTAATTTTGATACTAACTCCCATTTCAGATCAACAGCATAAAGGAAATGAGTCTATCTGCTAACCAAGAAAGGCAAGAAATGGAAGGCAAAAGATTGTCTTGGAAAGTCGAAGGCTCCAAAGCGGAACGAGAAAATGGTCCGAGGGGACGACCTGTGGACCCTGTGAAGTTGGTGGTCGAAATTGCCCCTATGGAAATCCGAACTTTCATCATCAACTTCAGTTCAGGTCTTGTCAAATTCAGATAGACAGAGTCCATTTGCAGCCATTTTCAGGTATAATCATCATAACTAATCCTGAATTTTAGCCCAATCACGAACGGCTTCGCGAACCATTTCAAATTACAAATAAGCCCATGAATTTGTTTGTCTTATAAAAGTGCACTGTCGTGAGGGTTTATTTGCAAGTTAAGTGCAAGCCTGAAGGGGTTATTTGTGTTTTTCCAGAAAGTGATTTCGTCTTGTTTGGAATTTGATTGAACTTCCTTTTTATTATTCTTCCCTACAGTTTGTAGTTAAAAAGAATCAATATCAAAGTTATCTGTTGCATGTATTTTTTGTAAGATGATTTCAGGTTGCGTTTTGCCAACATTACTCAAGAAGGAGCTTGAATGCGAGACCGGCTGTGTGTTTTGTAGCGTTCAATAAATCGAGGGCTCGTCTGATGTCCGGTCTACAAAATGCCATGTTGATGATGCCTTTGTTGTCTTGTTATTTTCTTCGTCTTTTTTTTTTTTTTTTNNNTTTTTTTTTTTTTTCCGTTCTTTGTTTTGTAAGCTTTTGGTGATCGGAAGAAATGTAGTGACACGGACGGAACCTTTTGCTGCACTGTTTTCCAGTGCAAAACTTCAATAAATCAGACTGATGATTTCAGTTACCTGCTAAATTACTGTGCAGATTAAGGATAAATTAATACATGTAAGGTCTTTAAATATATTCTCAAACCCGGTCGACTCGGGTAATTCACCGGTCCCTATATATTTTTTTTTATCCTTTTAAATATATTTTATTTAAAAAATAAAAACTATGTAAATATATTTATATAATAAATATTTGTTGTGAGATACAATATTACTAACACTTTGATATACAAATTATATATACACAACATTTATTTTTGTTAATTTTATGTATATTTATATGTTAAATATACTATATATATAGTTTTAAAAATTTTAAAATTAATTATCCGGTTCAGCAATTGACTGGTGACCCGGAGGCCTGTCCTAGTTGTGTTTAAAAACTATGGTATTTTTTCCAATAAAAATTAGGAGAATGCGAAAAAATTAGCACGTGTTAGCTTAAGAATCACTCTCTTAAGAGCATTTCCAATGATCAACTTTTAACATGAATTAAATTTGAACACATGTCAATCAAAAGATTAATGTTTAATCTACGTGAATTGAACGTTAAACTAATAGGACTTTCATTTAAATTGTTGCCTCTAAAATATCCATTCAACATTAATCATACAATTTGTATATGTGGATTTATTCATTTATCAATAAAGTAAAAGAATATATTAGAAAAAAAAACCATAAATGATGTTATTTTTTGTTGATTCGGTTAATTTTTTATTTATATCACCAAATTTTTGCAATTATTATTTATTCAATAATTTCTCAGTTACAATATGTATAACAATAAATATTTTTTTAATCGGTTCAAAAGAAATAATAACTACTAACTAGTGTGGTTATAACCACATAACATTAAAATTGCAAGAACTCAACAAGCAAATATCATGAACGCAATATTTTACTTTTCAGGACATTTTTATTGATAATTTTTTTAAATCTTAATTGTAATTTATCAATTGATTTTACTATATCTAAATAAATTCTAAAGATTTTTCTTGGGTTAATGGAAAGGTATGGCGCGGCTTGATTTTTCAAGGTTTCTGGAAAGCTCAAAATTTTATCATTTGTGTCAAATAATTACCCAAATATCGAGTAATTATGTTAGAAAGGATGTGTGAAATCAGAAAGTGAACTTGACAATGTTAACATTAATTTTGTACACATAAATATGAAAGGACCCAACGAAGAGGGGTTAGCACAGTGGCGCGTACCTTCGCTCGGCGTGTACCATGTCCCGAGTTTGAGTCACCCGGGGAGAATTGGGGAACCAGTATTGATCCCTCTTTTGACAAAAAAAAAATATGAAAGGACCCATAATATAATGCATTGGATGATAAATTATTTACACGTTTCTATTTAGATGAGGTGGATAACTTTTTACTCTTTCAACACAATGCATTAGGGATGCTCTAAAGATAAATTAACAAATTCGAGAATGGGAGGTAAAGAGTCAACATGTGTACCGCGAAGCGAATTGTGCGGCGATTTCGATGCCCATCTCACGGCATCATATCCTCTCGGGCTTCATATATTGTCTTCTCATCCCCGAGGAATAGATTCTTGGATTGAGCATGATAGGTTGGAGTCTCGTCTCCCGGCAAGTCTTAGACTAGGCCCTTGGCCTATTTTATTGTAAAAAAAAAAAAAAAAAAAAAAAAAAAAAAAAAATTGATACTTAAAGCTAATACTATTTATGTACTATTAAATTGTATTAATAATTATGATTATAATTATAAAGTTTTTTTTTTTAAGTTTAAGAAGGCTTCGAGATTGAACAAAATTAATAAAAAAGACATTAAAATTAGACACGCTAAAAATTGGAAATGTAAAGCATTATAAATTACATTATGAACCACTGTATTGGCGTAATTTTCAATGATTAATAAATGTTTTAGCAATTTTTTGCTACATTTAATTTTTATACATTTATAATTAGTTTTATTATATGTTATTCTAGTTGGACATAAAATATGATTGAAGTAATTTGTAAAGTCCTAAAATATTAGGATAATACTTTGTATGATATCCTTTTTAAATATAGTATTTGTATTATTTTATAATCTGTAGAATTATTTTGACAAAGGACCTAAGTTAACTCTATGAACTTCTGAATCAACATTCTATATCAAAATTCTGAGTCATGGGATCTTGAACTTAATCACCTTAACCGAATGTATAAATAATTGTGACACGAAACCTAGTTAATTATATTTTTTCTTCTACAAAAATATAATGTTAAATATTTTTTCTTCTAACGAAATATAATGATAAATTATACAATACTAACTTGCATAATTTTTTTCAAGTGAAAATATTTGTCAAATATATTTAGTTTTCAGACTAGGGTACGGTCAGAGGTGGGAATATACCAGACCATCCTTTTTCAGACATGTAGTGTCAGAGTAGGAAAATATTGTATCTGTCATTCCTGACATGTGCATAACTTTGGAATTATTATGCCTTACAAATGTTAAGAAATTTATCAAAGGAATTGTAAAAATTTATTGTTATATATTTTATTTTATGTAATTCTTTTATTTTAGAAATTAATAGCTATAATAAATTTCATTTTATCATGTGCAATCGGTATCTATTTTATGTAATTTTTTCGTTTTAGATATTAATAACTATGAACTTTGAATAAATTTCTTTTTATCATGTCCATGTTGCAATAAATTGTGCTAAGATAGGTCATGATAAATTTTGCAACATGTGTAGCAAATACATAATGATGATCTCTGTTTTATCTCCTCTTTTGGCTTGACTCATTTGACAGTAAAGACATTTGGAGCTGCTGGGGATAGAAAAACTGATCATAAGGTGTTTTTATCTTTTCCCTTTCAATAATAGTAAACTAATTTTTGGATCTGTCATATTCACATTTATTCAAATACACACAGACAAGTACTTACAATTATGTGAAGTGTAGATGATGACAAAGTCCGATATAACCAGCACAATAATTGATGAAGATGATCCACTATGACTGTGAAGTTATAAAACCAAATAGTTCAATCCCGAGTTCGTGATGGGCACTGATGAATATGATTGATTGATCTATGATAAACCTTATCCAGTTCTATTATTCTGCTAAACTAACCCGTGCGATGCACATGACAAAGATACTAAATGAGTTATTTTCACAGTCTTGTCCGTTTAAGTCTAAAAAATGATGATATTATTATCTATTTTCTACCTCTTTTAATCAACATTAAGTCTAAAAAATTATTAAGCCGCCCTCTGACAAATATGTATGGAGTTATGTGTTCGTGTCTCATAAGTCACAAACATTATGAATAACATTACAAATTATTCATTCAAACTTTTATTCATTGCAAATATATTAAAATAGTTTATATAACAACCATTAAATACCACTTTCAATATATTTATAAATAAAAAGTACATAAAATTTTTGGTGTGTTCAAATTTAAAATAATTTTTTATGGGCTCAATTTAAAATCATCCATACATTTGGTCAAACGCATATGTGTATTCAAATTTAAATCATTGGCATTTTGGTCGGTTGAAATTTAAATCATCTAACATGGTACTGTGATGTGTATTATATATATATATACAATTTTTTAACAAATAATATGTGCTTTATTAAAATAATAATAATAATTTCACAAGATTTTAAACGTAAAATTTAGTTTTTAATCACAATAAAAAAATCATGGTGAGTTATATTGAAAAGGTGTTATGAGATAAAACAATTAACTAAAATAATTAAATAAAATACTTGATGGAAATAGAATGCATTAATTACCTTTGACTTTTCTTACTACTAATTCTAGTAAATAGAATGCTTTTTATATAAGTATAGATGTGCATGTATGATTTTTTAAACTATTTTGTAAAGAAAACATGTCTAAAAATAATTAAACTTAACATGTGTTACGTATATGTGAGTATATCTATGTACATATAGATAGAATATGTAAAAAAATATGTCTGAATATTTTGTTTAAATATCTAAAATATTATAAGCCTAAATAAAGACATTATCTCACGCTACAATTGTTTTTGAGAAGATTTATAAGATACCATAATTATGATGTTACTTCCATATGAAGATTTGACTACATAATATTTCAAAAATTACTATCATTTTTTTAAAAAGTTACTATTAAAAGGAATTTGTACGCTTAACAATTTATCAATATTACAAATAAAAATTGAAATTAATGCAAAAAAAAAAAAAAAAAACTATCAATTTTACAAATACAAATCGAGATTAATGCACACCAAAAATTATGTGACAAATAAAAAGAAACTTCATATGTAATTGAGATCAAAGACAAACACTGAAGGCTGTTTCTATTAACATTTACAATGTATATTTGATGTTTTTTTTGGCAAAATATTATTTCTAAGTGTGATATA